GGCTTCTAAAAATGTTGTTTCAAATTTGTTGGGTAACCACAAGAGTGACAGCTACAGAGAGTTTGTTAGCGAGCTATTGTTGTCGTATCAAGCATTGGGTTGCAACATGTCACTTAAGATCCATTTTTTAGACACGCACCTGGATTTTTTTCCTGACAATTTAGGGGCTGTCAGCGACGAGCACGGTGAGAGGTTCCATCAGGACATTTCTAATATGGAAAAGCGGTACCAGGGCAAATGGAGCCCAAATATGTTAGCAGATTACTGCTGTACGATTAAAAGGGACCAACCAGAAGCTAAATATTCAAGAAAATCTTAGATTATTAAGTCATTTATAAAAAAAAAATAACTTTTGATTTACGAGATCTGTGTTTTTTTCTTAATATTTTAAATTAGTCAATCGAATAAAATCCTTGTCTAGCAAATTTTTTTTAACCGTTTATTTTTTCTTACAATCACCAATTAAAGTAAAAAATATCAAAAAAGTCCGTGTGACACGACAAAGTTAAAATTTTGTTGACCAGTGAAATTACTGAAATAATAATAATAATAATGATAATATTTATTTACTCAATGTACAAAGATAACAAACAATATGAGTAAATAAATATAAAATCAAAACAGGCCTAGTGAGTGATACTGTGTAAGAAATAAAGCTGTCTTATATCATACATTCGAACATCTGCATATAATTTTTCAGTGGGATAAAGTTTTTTAAATATCATTTTTAGAATACTTTTTGAAAAACATCTAAATTATAGATATGAGAGGAACATGCAGCTCCCCATGCTAATATACCATATGTAAGATGAGGCTCAATCAGTGCATGGTATAATGTTTGAAGATAGTTTTCTGTCAGTATATTCCCAAGGTATTTAATTTTGTAGGATACAAATCTAACTTTCTTTAAAATATAATTGACATGGATGTCCCATCGTAAGTGAGGATCCAAGACCACTCCAAGGTATTTTATGTTGGGCACTCTATTAATTTGCATTTTTTGATCATTAATATTGAAGGAGAAATTTGTGTAATTTGGCAGATGTCTAGCATAAGATCCAAATGGTAAAAAATGTGTTTTAGAGTAGTTAATGCTTAATTTTCTACTGTTAAACCACCGAATAATTTTGATAAAATCATTTTCAATTACATTTTTCAGATCAGACCAGTCAGTGCCTTCATATAATATTGCAGTATCATCTGCAAAACCAGTTATTTTGCCAACACAATTAATTTGGAAAATATCATTTAAATATATATTGAATAACAGCGGACCTAAGACAGTTCCTTGTGGGACACCACACTTAATATACATTTCTTTACTAAATGATCCTGATATCTGCACAGATTGTGGGCGATTTGACAAATAACTTTCGATCAGTGAGTACGCGTTTCCTCTGAAACCAATTCTCTCCAATGCTTCTAATAATAATTTGTGATTAACTGTGTCGAAAGCTTTCTTTAAATCAACAAAAATGCAGATTGAAGGGATTCTGTTATCAATATTTTGATATATTTGATTTACAATTTTAGTTATTGCGTCCGATGTAGCCTTCCCTTGTGTAAATCCATATTGATTTTCACTTAAAATTTTGAATTTTGTGAGGTATCGAATCATTCTAGTAGATAAAACTTTTTCAAAAACCTTTGCTACACTGGATATTATTGATATTGGTCTATAGTTGTTAACATCTGTTTTTGTTCCTGATTTATGTATCGGTATTATACGTATATTACCTTTTTTTAAAATTGAGGGATATATGCCAGATTCAAAGCATTTGTTGATTAGGTAAGTGAGTGGGTCTGTTATGTCCTCGGCTATAATTTTCCAATGCTCGCTTTTAATACCATCGAACCCAGGACTTTTCCGATTTTTTAAGGACATAACAGTGGTGTATACTTTATATTGTTCGACTTTATCCAAAATAAATGAGTTCAAAGTTCTTTTTGGAGGCTGAGTATTTTGTACATTTGCTTGTATATTACTTGCTAAATTTTCGCCTATGTCAGTAAAGAATTGTACAAATTCATCGCATATCTGTTGAGTATTTTTTAATACTGTTCCCGATGTTGTATTTAATTCAGTGACACATTCTTTAAATTTTGTTTCCCCAGTAATCTCATCAAAAGTTGTCTAAAGCCGCTTAGGATCATTTAAGTTATTATTCAATTTATTTAGGTAATGTTTTCGTTTGGTTTGCCTTGCAAGCTCTATAAATTTATTTTTATATTGGTTGTAACAGTCGGTATTCTCTGTAGTTGGCGTTAGTTTCATTACACTATATAGTCTTTCTTTTTCTATTGCCGATGTTATTAATCCTTTGGTAATCCAGGCATTTCTGCTTTTCTCTTTGTGACTAATTATTACTTTATTGGTACTAATATCTATTAGTTTTTTTATTTTCTCTATGAACAGTCCCGTTGCTTTGTCTATATTATTTATAGAGTATAATTGTTCCCAGGATTCTTGTTTGACATTTGATATTAGTTTTGAATTGTCGACAAAAAATTTGTAATTTTCCTGGTTGTTATTAACGGTAGGAATGTTAGAATGTTTTTCATTTGAAGATATCAGCTTATGACTAAAGCATATCATAGCTGTAAAGAGTTTTTGACACTTTTTAATCTCCCTCTAATCTTTCCTCTTTCCTTCTCTAATTTATCTGTAATTTTTTCCTTTGTACTTTCTTTGTTAATGTTGTAGGATGTTTAAATTTATACTCATGTACTTTTTACATATATCCATATTCATCGTTTGTAATTATTTATTTTATTTTTGACGTGCCAGTGTACATACACATTTGTATCTAACTGGTTAAAATAAACAAACAAACAAATAAACAAGATTCATTAACTGGGGCATTAAAAACCTTTTTTTTAATCGGTCCTTTTTAGGGCCACAACTTATTAATAAAAAGAAATCCCAGAAAAATAAATTTAAAATATAAAAATTTAAGGGATTTACGGTTTCTGCGAGCCTGTTTAGACATCATTTAGCTACTTTTTCGTAAATAAAATCATACCAATACGTTCTGTCGGAATGTCGAAAAACGCCCTCTAGCGGCCACATGTATAATTTCAAACTTATAGAAAAACTTCAAATATTATAACGTTTGTAGCCGCTAGAATACCTCTCTTCAACTATAGTTTGTTAAAATCGGCTTAGCTGCTTCAAAGATACAGGGTGTCCTTTACGGTAACCTTTGATTACCCCCCCACCACGTTATTTTTAAAGATACAGCAAAAATTGTTAAACAAACAAGTTCACAATAAAGATCAGGTATTTTTTTGTTAGGTGGATGTAGCGTAATTCACAGAAACACGCTTTTTACGCCTCCTATCGGCCGTTTCAGAAGTTTGAAAATATTTTCTAGGTTATTCCCTAGGTCGTTTTAGTAGAACTTCAGTACCTCGCATTCTTAGTTGTCACCCTGTTCAGTGGTAAAGTACAAATACCACTAACGAAATACACTTCTCCTTAGGAATCCACGCACGTCATGTAAGGAAAATAACTCCGTCAAGCCTTTTTGTTTTACAAAAGTTAGAAAAGCTCTCTCCGAGCACTATTTTGTGCACAATGCGTCACTGCGAATACCGTTGTACAAGTTGTCTACCGTATACGTAATACCTATTCTCTGCTCTAATACGGAATCTAAAACCGCGAGAAAGCCGGAATTTTTATGAAACTCCTTCCCGGATACAAAACAATGTGTTGTGCGGGTATAAGATTAACGTCTGAAAGCAGGAGAGCACTAGCAATATAAATTCTTCCTTATAGTGGACAAGAAATGAAAAAGGAGGACGATCCGGCATTTGCTAGCTCCAACATCTCTTGTGAATGGGGGAAATTAAAAAGACGAGCATCTATACAATTATCGCCGAGTAGGGTCCTTCGGCAGAACTCTCAGCTGGCAAATTAAATAGAACGGCGACGGTGTTGCCAGATTTCCCTGATATGGTTGTTGGGGTCACGTTCATTTAGGCTGATCACCGAGGACTTGGAGGATCTGTTGATTTGTATAAAGCTGAGAAACACTTTTCTCAACATGACGTTCTCACTTTATACAGGGTGCTTTAGAACTAAGGGATCAAACTTCTAGGGGTTATTCAGTGTAACAGTAGAACAAATCTGAGTATAGGGACTCAAGCGCCGGATATGCTTCCCTATACTCAAATGTTTTCTACTGTTACACTGAATAACCCCTACAAATTAACCCCTAATAACTTGATTCTATATTTCTGAAAGACCTAGTTTTAATTTGTTGAGCAAACACCGTCCATCGCACAGTGTGGCGCCCAATGGACAAAATTACTCAAAAACATAATTTTTGACATTAGAATTCTGTTGCTTTTATTATACCATTGGATAGATAAATAGTCACTGCAACACGTAAGTATAGTACTTTAATCAAGTTGGCTGCGATTTACCTATTTTAGCAACTTTAAAGTTAGACATGTCGAGACCTGTCAAGACGGCGAAAAATCTTTCTGTTTTATTGCTCGGGGAAGATATAAATTTTGTGTCGAAATATTTAAATATTTTAACTTTTCCAATATGGCTGGTAATGAGGCTGGTAAGTACATTATATTGATGTATAGATTTATTTAAAATATAATTATAATTAGATAATTTTTTAAGTTAAAGTGACTATTACCGATTCTTGTAATTTTTTTTAAACTTTTGACTTTGTTTAGAGTTTTACAAAAATCACCTCCCATAACCCTAAAAAGTTTTTTATTTATTGTTTATCTGTCCATAGTAAGTTTTGATAAAAAGTTTAAATCACGTCATGCCACGTCTAAGTGAGATATAATTTTTTTTAGGACATGGTGCTATTGTCAGAAATAGAGATTTGATTGGTGTGTGGATAGAAGCACCGAGAGGAAATTGAAAACAGGTGGTTTATGAAAAGATATTATCTCTTATTGATATAACCGATGAACCTTCCAAACATCTTAAAAGTAATATTATGAAATGCAGCCAGTTGTTTGCGTTGAAAATGGCAAATAAAAGGCAGAAAGTAGGACAATCTTGGAATCGAATTTTACAAAATCAGGTATATTGGTTAGACAAGATTATATATAGAATAAATAATGATTCTGAAGAAAACACATCTTCGGATGAGGAACAAGAGCCTCCTTGTCGCTCAGTTGGACGGCCACGGGTGCCATTTGAAGAGGCATCGAAGAAAACAAAACGAAGACGTGTAGCCGAAATAACCACAGACAGATCTGCAAATAAACTTCAATTTGCTGTAAATGTCGTTTCTGGAAGCAATCACAGTGAGATCTCGCCACAAATGTTTAGTTTTAGTACAGCTGAAGCTTTAGCCCTTATGGTAGATTTGGATATATCCGTAAGAAAGTATTTGCTACTTAGGTCTGTTATTAATGGTAAGGCCCAGAACTGCCTTCCTAGTTATAAAGAATTACAGAAAACAAAAAATGATATCCTCCCTTCACAATTTATTATTACTGAAATTTCTACAGAAGTTGATTTGTAAGAACTTGTACAGAAAACAGCTGAAAGTATCCTTGAAATAATAAATTTTGAAGAGAGAGATTGCCGGGTTAAACTGATATGCAAGTGGGGATTTGATGGCAGTTCTGGGCATAGCCAATATAAGCAGAAATTTTCTGATTAAGAAAACACCGACGAATTTCTGTTTCTTGTAGCAATGACGCCACTCAGATTGATTGATATGGAAACGAATAAGGTATTGTGGAAAAATGAGAGCCCTTCATCTACTTGATATTGTAGGCCGATCAAGTTTTTATTTAAAAAGGAAAATGCTGATTTAGTGCGGAATACGGAAAGGGAAATAATAACAAAAATTGAAAATTTGATTGATATTGAGATTAAAACAAAAGAAGGGCACTCTTATATAATTGAAGTTGATATGATGTTAACAATGTTGGACGGCAGGGTTTTAAACGTTCTATCAGAGACAAATTCAACTATGGAGTGCATCATTTGCGGAGCCACAGCCAAGGACATGAACACGTTACCAGGGATTAACCGTCCTCCTGACGTAGACAATTATTTACCGGTTTGGTTTGTCAACTTTACACTGCTGGATTCGTTTTCTGAATGCTTACTCCATATTGGATACCGCCTGCCAATTAAATCTTGGCAGGTTCGTGGGCCTGAAGACAAAGCTATAGTCGAAGCAAACAAAAAACGAATCCAAGCAGAGTTCAGAGCCAAGCTGTCTCTAATAGTTGACAAACCAAAACCCGGGTATGGCTCCTCAAATGATGGCAATACGGCCAGAATTTTTTTCCACAATCCACAAACAAGTTCAGATATCACAGGGGTTGACAGGGAATTAATCGAGAAATTTGCGATCATCTTAGGAGTGTTAGCTAGTGGTTGCGCTATTGATATGGAAAAGTTTGCGTCATTGCTGGAAGAAGCAAGAAATTTGTATATCCACCTTTATAAGTTTTACAACATGCCAAACACAAGGTCCTTGTTCATGGGTGTGAGATAATTGATGCATTTTGTTTGCCCATTGGAGAACTGTCGGTGGATGCGCTTGAGGCTCGCCATAAAGAGGTAAGGAAACATCGATTATCTCACACCAGAAAATGTTCAAGAACAGATACGAATAAGGATCTCATGCGTGTTCTTTTACTTACTTCTGATCCTTTTATATCCTCAAAAATAAAGGTGAGCTCAAAAAAATATAAGAAATGCAACGAGGCAGTTCAGAACTATTTAAAAAAGCAAGAAAATGATGATTTAGGTATTGACTTAGTTACAATAACGAATGACACAGCACCGAGCAAGAAATCCTATTCCGATTAGAATGGGTATATTTGGTGTTATTTTTTTAATATAGTTTATATTATTATTTCATACATTACCTACTAAGTAATTGTTATTTTGTTAAATATATTTTTTTAAATAATATAATAATAAATATCAATTTCAAATTATACAGATTTATTTTTTATTTGAATTATTCTTATTATTTTTTCAAATAGATAGACAAATTTAATAAATCATATTGCGCCCGCCACAAGTTGGCTACATTATCTTTTAAATCATTCGGTAAAGATCTTGAAAAATAAAAGCGTGACTTCTTTGTCTCTCTTAAGTATGCTATAATAATATCCTACCTTATCCCAATTTATTCGAGATCATCAACTTAATATTTTGACGTTTACAAAAAAAACAATTCATGCGAAATGCATCCCGCCTGCTCCCCCACCGCTTCTCATTATTTTAAATAATTTTTGTCATATTTTAGAAAGCTACTTAAATAAGCAATCGCCCTGCGTTCACATAATTCAAATAGGACCACTAGTTTTTAAGATATCGAATGTTGTCCCTGATCCCTATAAAGGAACACACTGTGCATCGGATTGAAAGAAACAGGCGATTAAATTTGCTAAGGCATGATCAAGTATTTCAAGAATCATTTTTATTTTAAAAGAAATCAGTGGCGTACCATCAACGTCGGCCAAAAGAGGCAAGCGAAATACCGTACAGACGCCACTGGAAGAAATTAAATAAAATAAAAATGTTGATGCATGCGAAACTTCGTGGAGATATCTAAAGTGTATTTAATAATAAATGATTTATTTTTGGAGACTTTACCACCCAGTATCTCAAAAGATAAGCCGATTGAGGTTTTCTTCTTGCAATAAACCAAAAAATCGACTCCTTAAATATTAGCACTCAATTTGGAAACACTCTGTATATTCAGTGCCGCGCATGACACTATAAATGATACTTAATATTAGGGCGAACTTAGTGGATTCATTTTCCTACCACAAATAGGGCACTTTGGTAGCATCTTGTCCGCATCACCTCAGAGAAACATTTTAAAAAAGCAAACACTACAATATATAAAATGCATACTTACAAGACATACAATAATTGTTGAAGCACCTGAAATTCAGCATCCAAAATATTCATTTATAGACCAGAAACAGTGTCTCTGCAAACATACTTTTACACTGTTCCTAAATTTATCATAATCTTCTATTTTTCTCAAGTAAATAGGTAGTTCGTCACATAACGATATGGTGACTCTTCAAAATCTAATGTAGTATCAATGTATGGCAAACAGTTGGTGTTTCTAGTCTGATATCATAGTTCAATATGTTGTCACTATACTGTAAGTGACGTGCCATCTACAAACATAGTGACCCTCTGTCTCTCTCGCGAGATGTGGCAGGCAAGTATTTTGTGCAATAGACTTTTCGCATGAAACTGACTCCATTGCAAGATCGTTTTTAAAAGAGGGAAGAAAACAAAATGGTTCATTTAACATATTTATAATAATTCATATTAGAATGAGGATGAGCATATTGTGAAAAAAGTGTAACATTTAAATAACATCGAATAGCAAAACCATACATCAGACGAAAACAGAGTAAAAAAAAATGGATAAATGTTAGTTCTTACTTAAAGCTATAACTGTGTACCTATGTGAACTGCAAAGCAAGATCCTCGAGAACATTTCTCATACTACCATAACCAAAGAAATAATTGTCCGATGAAGCACCCACTGTACGAGTAAGATAAAAAAATAATCACGTAGCAATAAGGTATCAAATGGTTAGCATCTCAATTTGATTTCCATTGCGCAATTAAGGACTCATCAGTTAGGAAATGACTGTGTTATTCAGTATGGTTATCTGTTGCCCCCATAGTTCTCAAGTCTTAACATAATTAGAAGAGGGCCACGAATTATGGGGACCGCAGTACTGTTAGATCGGTCCCTATTTTGTTAATGGTTCATCTTCCTCAAGAGCGGTGGACTCGACAACAGAGAACTGGGGGAGCTTTGTAATTGTAATAACTACGAGTATACAAAATTGTTGATTCCGAATCTTGTCTTTAACTGAAAAATACCTGGAACAGAATACAAGGAATCTCTTAGCAACCATTAAAATTTTTTTTCTGACGACATATAAATCCTCAATAACGTCATCCGTATCATACGAATCAATACCACTACTACAGCTTGGACTCATTTTCTTTGGACACTAGTGTAACAGATCCCATTAACCTTGAGTAATCCCTCCGCCTTAATTGCGAGATACACCTAATGATTCAACACAAACAACACATAATTATGGCAAAGCCGTGTTTATAGGCTGATGGGCACCCTACGCGTTAATGGATAAAATATTAAGCATATACTTCTGAATTAGCCGCTATTCTGTTTTTCCTGGAAAGGTTGAAATTGATGCTCGGGCAGAATTAGCACATAAAATTAGCCTTGGTCTCCACCTTTAGTGACAGGTCTTCTGAGTTAATTAACTGGGAGGTACTCTTAACGTCATTACTGTCATTTCAGACTTCATCAAATATGGTCGAAGCTGTGAGTGCTCATTTTTGATTTCTCGAATGTCACCTGATACAATTTCAAGGACCAGGATAAACAACGAGTGAATCGATCGCTGTTCTAGCCACTTTTGTTTTTTCACGTTACTCCACTGACGAAGAACTATTGTATGGTTTGTTCGTACATCCTGTTGGCTGACAGTCAGCAAACTGATAGTCGGCGAGAAGTCATGACCTAGTTTATTCAGTTAGTGACAGTATAGACTGCGTACATGGGAACGTTGCGAGGTGGCTGAGGGAGCTCGGATCGATCACTGACACCTGATCCACTGTTCGTACAGAAACTTCTGACTATTTGATGACTGTCAAATTAGTCAGCAGATTATTCATCAAGTACATCATTATCCGAATGTAACATCTTTCCGCATGAGGTGGACAATTTTGGAAAGGTTCCGATATTTTAATTTTCTGTAAACCAGAATGATCTAGGATTTATCGTCCCATTGCCCGGTAGTTCAAAAAAAAATTACATCACCAAAAATGTCGAGTAGGTTTACTCAGTAATTCCCATTCAACTCTCATTTAAAAAGTATGGACATAAACTCGGAGGAATGTGATTCCACACATCGGATGACAAGTTGAAGAAGCAAAAAGTAAGAATTCTGAATAAACGTCTGCGATGATTATGCATGAAAACTGTACTGTAAATTTGTTTTTATGATGCTAGAATTGTAGGGTTTTTGTTCCTTAACAGTTGTCTCCCAGCCTTGAAGCATATACACAAACCGTACGTATTTTCTCGCTCCGGTTCCAAAGCTGATCGAAAAAAACAAACGAATTGACTAATTTTGAAGATTTTGTAAAGCAGCTATTGTTAGGCTTGAGCATTTCCGTATATTGTACTAAATACAAAGATATTTTCTCAAACTATCCACCGCTGTAACAATGGTGCTGGCTGGGGTGAGAATAACATATTCCCTGTATATGCAGGCTCTCTCTCAGTGAACGAAATAAGTAAAAATGCTACAACGATTTAATAACGTCTTTGAATAACAAATGGTGAATATAGACTTAGAAGCTTAAACGGCTGATCATAATTACAATGACCAACATCTGCTTAAATACCTATAAGTTCCCAACATGGCAAAAGGAAATGGGACTACCAAAACACAAAAACTCAGCAAGGAAAAATCATAAGTCAAGTCGCGTTTTCACCCCTGAGACATACTGCAAGCAGAAATACGAATAAATATAAATGTCTGACATGACAAAAGTGATCATCATGACTACTAGCAACACTGGTAGGTACAAATAATCGGGTAATTCCGTATTTTGTAAAAGTAACCGAAGTTTTGGAAAGAGTAGTGTTCACAAAAAATAGTACTAATTACACTGGACAACAAATTTTAGTTATTTAATTGTATCTTGTGGGAAAAGTGGACTTCTTTGTTAATTTTGGGGCGCTGAATCCAAAAATGACAATTAAATAAAAAAATTAGTTGCGGTTTAGAAAAAAAACTTATTATTTTTAAGGATATATTAAAAAATGTAACAAGATTCATATATAAGAATCACTATATGCGCTGTCTTTTATGGATCGTTTCTAGAGCATCTCTACCAAGAGTCCAACGTTCGCCGTGCTCATCACTTACGGCTCCGCAATTGTCAGGAAAAAAGTCTAGGTGTCAGTGTATGAAATGTATCTTAAGAGACATATTACAGCCCATCTTTTGATACGATGACAGCATATTTTTGACAAGGGTTTTATAGTTGTCAGCTTTTCTATTTCCCAAGAAATTAGTGACCACCAGACGGAAATCATTCCAAGCAGTTTTTTCAATACCTGTTAAAGTGTTTTCAAACTGTGTCTCTTTCAAAATATTTCGAATCTGTGGCCCAACAAAAATACCTTCTTTAACCTTTGCCTCACTTAGTCTTGGAAATTTCTGACGCAGGTATTGAAAAGCTGACCCATCTCTATCTAATGCCGTGACAAAGTTTTTCATTAGGCCCAACTTGATATGCAGTGGTGTTAATAAATTTTTTTTCAAATCTACTAATGGCATATGCTGTACATTTTTTTGACCTGACTCTAGGAATTGACGAACATGCCAGTTTTGTCTGGTGTAATGAAGTGCCTTTGCCCGACTGTCCAATTCACACAAAAAACAACAAAACTTTGTGTAGCCT